CTATACAGTTTCAGTTTCTTTATTTCTTTAGCTAACTGGCCCATCAGAGTATACGAAATACTTGTAAATATTTTTCATAAATAATACAATGCATTTTAATACAACTACCAATTAACCGGGACACTGAATTGTGAAAACAATTTATTTGTCTTTGTTCCGTCATGCGTAAAGTCCGGCGACGGTTGTAAGAGATAATTGATTTATTACTCGAGGTGAAGCCCTAGTAATTAAGTTTTATTAGCTCACCTGAGCCGAAGGCTCAAGTGAGCTTTTCTGATCACATTGTGTCCGTCGTCCGTCCGTCTGTCCGTCCGTCCGTCTGTCCATCCGTAAACTTTTCACATTTTCGACTTCTTCTCAAGAACCACTGGGCCAATTTTGACCAAACTTGGTACAAAGCATACTTGGGTGAAGGAGAGATATTTAAATTGTTGAAATGAAGGGACATATCCCCTCGCAAGGGGAGATAATCAAGAAAAGACAAAAATAGGGTGGGGTCATTAAAAAATCTTCTTCTCAAGAACCACTGGGCCAGAAAGCTGAAACTTATGTGAAAGCATCTTGGAGTAGTGTAGATTTTAAATTGTTCAAATCATGACCCCCGGGGATTGGGCGGGGCCACAAATGGGGAATCAAAGTTTTACATAGAAATAGGGGTGGGACGATATACCGATACACCGATACATATGGATATTTCCCTCCAAGATACGGGTTACAATACAAGCATTTCAATATCGGTACGAAACGATACACGAACGACCTATCCAAAAATTGAAAATGAAAGTACCTGTCCTTAGAAAATGGCGGCTTGTACGAGCGAAGAGACGATGTTGATATTGAAAACGCACTTTAGAACAAATAACTCGTTGGTTAGGGGTAAAAAGTTTTCACTTTTAAGCAGCCTAGGAAGATTGGACAGAGAAAAATTCAGTATGTAATGCGTGCTATACACAGAAAATATCTTTTCCAGAACACTTGATATTATTAATTGTTAGTCCATTGTACTTTTTTTTGTAATCTCAACTTGGCTACAGACTTTTAGCTATGAATTAATAAAAAATTGATCGATGTTTTTGAATGAAGTTTTAGTCAGTGTTCTGATAAACTACACAACTATTTTGTAAACAACTTCTGAATAGTAATTGGTAATCAGAGTATGTACATGTATTATTGTTTTTGTAAAGTTTTAGTCAATGAAATTGATGAACTTCAAGTATTAATTTCAAAGCAAACATGATTTGATATAGAATAATTTGTTGATTTAATGTCAAGACAAAAAAAAAGAAATAAAATACTAATTCTTTTGAATAGTTTTAAAATTTCTCATAATATCGAGATACGTATCGTATCGTGCCAATATATCGAGATATGTATCGTATCGCAAGAGGTGTGTATCGTCCCACCCCTACATAGAAATATATAGGAAAAATCTTTGAAAATCTTCTTCTCAAGAACCACTGTGCCAGAAAAGCTGAAACTTATGTGGAAGCATCCTGGGATAGTGTAGATTCTAAATTGTTCAAATCATGACCCCCGGGGATTGGGCGGGGCCACAATGGGGAATCAAAGTTTTACATAGAAATATATAGGAAGCATCTTTCAAAATCTTCTTCTCAAGAACCAATGTGCCTGAAAAGCTGAAACTTATGTGGAAACATCCTGGGGTAGTGTAGATTCTAAATTGTTCAAATCATGACCCCCGGGGATTGGGCGGGGCCACAATGGGGAATCAAAGTTTTACATAGAAATATATAGGAAGCATCTTTGAAAATCTTCTTCTCAAGAACCACTGTGCCAGAAAAGCTGAAACTAATGTGGACACATCTTTTGATAGTGTAGATTCTAAATTGTTCAAATCATGACCCCCGGGGGTTGGGCAGGGCCACAATGGGGAATAAAAATTTTACATAGAAATATATAGGAAGCATCTTTGAAAATCTTCTTCTCAAGAACCACTGTGCCTGAAAAGCTGAAACTTATGTGGAAACATCCTGGGGTAGTGAAGATTCTAAATTGTTCAAATCATGACCCCTAGGGATTGGGCGGGGCCACAATGGGGAATCAAAGTTTTACATAGAAATATATAGGAAAAATCTTTGAAAATCTTCTCAAGAACCACTGTGCCAGAATAGCTGAAACTTATGTGGAAGCATCCTGGGGTAGTGTTGATTTTCAGTTATACAAATCAAGACCCCCGGGGTTGGGCGGGGCCACAATGGGGAATCAAAGTTTTACACAGAAATATGTAGGAAGCATCTTTCAAAATCTTCTTCTCAAGAACCACTGTGCCAGAATAGCTGAAACTTATGTGGAAGCATCCTGGGGTAGTGTTGATTGTCAGTTATACAAATCATGACCCCCGGGGGTTGGGCTACAATGGGGAATCAAAGTTTTACACAGAAATATGTAGGAAGCAGCTTTGAAAATCTTCTTCTCAAGAACCACAGGGCCAGAAAAGCTGAAACTTATATGGAAGCACCCTGGGAAAGTATAGATTCTAAATTGTTCAAATCATGACCCCTGGGGATTGGGTGGGGACACAATGGGGAATTAAAGTTTAACATAGAAATATATAGGAAAAAGCTTTGAAAATCTTCTTCTTAATAACAACTGGGCCAGAAAAGCTGAAACTTATATGGAAGCATCCTGGGGTAGTGTAGATTTCAAATTAAGTACTATGATCAGTTGGGTAGGTGGGGTCACAATATGTATTACAAGGGGTAAATCTAGTAGAGTACAGGATTGTCAAAGCTTCTCAGGTGAGCGATGTGGCCCATGGGCCTCTTGTAACTTTTTGAATTGAAAGACGGTAGAATTGGTTGATTAAAGTTTCAGTTAGAGAGAATTTGTGTGTTTAGATTTTCTAATTATCACAACTCTTACTGTGTCGGCAAAATTTTTACTGTGTCGCATGCATGAAATTTGAATCGTTACTGTGTCGGAGAAAATTTTACTGTGTCGGGAGCAACACAGTAAAACAGCTCATGGAGAACCCTGGGGGCGAAAATAACCCTGTATACAGTATGTACTTTATGGCTGAGAAGAAATGCCAGCCTGACATAGTGATACAATGTCAAAATCTTTTTGTAAAAGCAAAAGCATGCAGTATTAGATTTTAATGATTACCGGTAGTAAGAATTTTATCATATTAGGGTAAAGTATTTCTGCATGTCTGAATTAATCAATTATCATTATGTTTATATTTCCCCAGATTTGTAGACTGTCCTTCCAGCATACAGCTCCTTTAGATGCTATTGCTCAGTTTAGAAAACACATAGACTTCTTCAAGTCACGAGTGGGCTGCCCAGAGTTAGCATTCGAACACAGTGCCTGGATGTCAAAACAGTATGTCTTCTAACATCAAACTATTTGTAGGCTAAGAAAAAATTTACTAGTTTTCTGGCTTGTATGTGAAGCTTTAGGTATGTACACTGTACATGTCTTTGTCAGGTTTCAAGTGTTTGGGGATCTTTTTGATGAGCTATAAAACTTGGCCTGACAGCAATACAGACACAGCACCCTGGGTTTTACTACCAACAGGCCGCTAACCACTCCATCAACAGGAAACAGCTGTGTAGGGGCTCTGTAAGGTAAGGTGTATATATATGTCAAGGATTAAATAGTCAGCAACTCAATCAATGAGTTGATAAAATTACTCAGGATTATGACTTTTTATGATTACGTGTGAACCGTATTAGAGTCAGTCTACTATAATAGAGAAATATAAACCACAGTAACTGTTATTTAATAACTTTCCCCCTGTTGTAGCCCCTGAATGCAGTGTTTCAACCTGACCCCCTTGAGAGCCTCAGTAACCTTGACTTCTATGGACAGAGGCCCTGGAGGCAGGGACATCAGAGTAAGTCACAAACTAAAATAGGTCATTTATCTGTGACAGCCACAAACTAAAATAGGTCATTTATCTGTCAAAGCCACAAACTAAAATAGGTCACAAACTAAAATAGGTCATTTATCTGTCATAGTCACAAAATAAAATAGGTCACAAACTAAAATAGGTCAGATATCTGTCACAGTCACAAACTAAAATAGGTCACAAACTAAAATAGGTCAGATATCTGTCACAGTCACAAACTAAAATAGGTCATTTACAGTCTTAAACAAATTTAAGTCAGTTTTCTGGTACAGTTTTAAACAAAAGTATTCTCTAAAGTAAGACAATTTTCTGTCACAATCTTCAACAAAAGTAAGTCAGTTACTGGGTATCTATCACAGTCTTAAACACAGTATTCTTGATCATTCTAGCACAGTGTTAAAGAAGTGCTCCATGTTACAAGCAGAGTTTTAAACCAGCTTTGTTCTCCATGTTACTAACACAGAGTTTGATTTTTAGGAATTGAGCCTCCAGACATGCAGAGAGAACGTGATGGAATCATGGCTCTCCAGAGCTTAGAGATTAAAGTAGACCATTCTGTAAGTCAAAGTGTCACAAAAATTAAATTGTTATACTGTGTATGTACAGTAAAATTAGCCTTTTCATGTAGCCACTACATTCAGTGTTGGATAGACAGGTTTATAAGTGTTGTATGGTTCTCTTTCAGTGGCTGATTATTCCTCTACTCAGCAGTGCTGTAGCTCAATTCAAGAAATACAGATCTCTCCTCGTATGAAGCGATATCTCAGTAAGTACTGATTTCAGAAATGCATGACTTTTACAACTATATAGTATTAAATTAGTTTAAAATTGTTCAGAGTATTGAGATATTTTTCATACTGAGTATATGCAATGATAAAGTAATAAGGACATGGCAGTGACATCTTAATCTTTTGTTTACTTTATGATAAAATTGACATTTCATAAAAAAAATGCATGTTTTAGAGGTAATTATAAAGAGGGACATAATTCTGAAAATCACCACAACAGTGGGGACTGGAATATTCTTATTCATGTCATTCTCTCTGGGTGTCAATTTCAGCTGTAACATCAAATGTGTTGCTATTGCTAGGAAAACAAAATTAATTATTAAATACTTCTAAATCCAATAAAGTTTAGTTTTTATCATGAAGGTATAATAATCATTATTCAGCTTTTCTGCCATTAATTTTTTTTCCAGTGGTACAAATGGGAGAGGAGTACTATCATGCCAAAGATTACAATAAGGCACTCATGTAAGTCTCAAAATAAGGCACTCATGAAGTGTAAAGTTTACAATAAGGCACTCATGAAGTGTAAAGTTTACAATAAGGCACTCATGAAGTGTAAAGTTTACAATAAGGCACTCATGTAAGTCTCAAGGCACTCATGTAAGTCTCAAAATAAGGCACTCATGAAGTGTAAAGATTACAATAAGGCAATCAATGGCATATCAGTCTAAAGATTAAAGTAAAGCACCCATGTAAGTCTAATTAAAATATGGCTGTGACTTCATGTCTTAGGGGAGAAATTCAAACTGTTAGTTAAGTTATTACCCATGCTTGGCTGACATATCCCCTGTTTGCTGTAGGTTGTTGAACAAGGTGACCTGGGATTACCGTGGGGAGCGATGGTGGTCCCTCCTGACCTCGATTCTGGACATCTCTATGAAGTGTGCCTACCTAACGGCTAAAGTCCAGGACTACGTGTCTGTCTGTCTGGAACTCGTGGGACCATGTATCCTTCTCTCAAATACATGTACATACACTATAAATATAACCAATAGTTAATGGATTTATCTGTCTGTTTAGATCTTGTTGAAATGTGCATCCTTCTTTTGGGATTCAAAAGATTTTAATAATTTAAGTCCTTAGTTAATGTATGATTGTTTTAAAAAAATACCAGTATCTTAAACTGTCATCTCTATTTATAAGTACATACGTGTTATCATGTGGCAGTGTTTCTGTTATATTTGGCTTTGACCTTGACCTATTACCAGATGTCAAACTCGGCAATGAAGAGAAAACAAAGTAGATGAACCTGACCAGAGTTATGAATGTAAGAAAAAACAAGCATCATAGAGAGTTTGATTTCTTTCTTTTATCAATAACTTCTCTATTGCAAGCTCATGAAATGAAACTGATTGTTTATTTTGGTTAATAAATGGTAAAAGTAGGATGATGGTAATTGTGTGAAAACTTGAATTAAAATCCTACAGAAACTTCATGTAAGAGATCTAAGTAAGCCAGGGATACCTATGTAAAACTATCATTAACAATGTATCACTGACTAAACTGTAAATCAAAAACACAATCTTGAAAGGAATAAAAAAAACGCTTCATACCTTGTTTGATATTATTTTTCTAATATGTTATTAAAGCTTTGTTTAGTGACATTAGAAATATTATGAATAATTTTCTCTATCCACTCAGAACGACCATCCTGAGCCAGAGCCGGGGCTAGATTCTGAGTGTGTGGAAAGACGCTCGACGTCTCTGGCAATAACTCGACCGAGTCACCCTGTGTGTTCACGATGGACGTTCAGACTATAGTACCATTCGGTAAGACTATAGTTAAGGTTTCGTCAAAGGTCAACATGTCCAAAAATTTATTTTCACAATAGCCCCAAAACTATGTGAGGTATAAAGTTAAAAATTTTACAGTTTATAAATTTTTCATTGATTAACAGATAGAAAATATTCACTTGATAAAAAAACATACTTGGAATAATATCAATTGAAAAAAATTCTTCTTAAATATGCATATATTTTCAAAAAAATACACCTAAAATTAATTCCGTGCTCCTAGTGAAAACCATCATTGCTGAAACAAAATATGTTTATCAATGAAGGGCGAGTTGGACTGGGATAGCCTCTGGAAAGTTGTTTTCCGTGTTTATTTTATCCAAATGTTTAAGACTTGAAAGTGAAAGTAGATTGCAAATGGCAGATCTAATAGGGCTCTTGTCTTTATACATGTCTTGCTTTCAATAATAGCATTTCAGAGACCATTCACGTCCAACTTGCCCTTCAAGAACAACACATATCATTTCTACTATGTTGGTTTTCAAAGAAAGGACAAAATTAGCAGGTGCATTTTTTTTAAATATGCACATTTTCTGATACAATTTTTCTCAAAAAATATTTTTTTAAAAATATTTGTTATCAAGTGATACTTTCTATTCATTAATCAATGATACTTTTATAAACTGGAAACGTTTTGACTTTATACCACACATAGTTTTGGAGCTATAATAATTGTAAAAATATTTTTTTAGACATGTTGACATTTGACGAAACCTTAACAAAATGTTCTGAAAGGCTGATAATTTCGATTGCTTTGTGTGGTTAACCAAAGACCCTTAATGACTAGAGTCTTAAAGGATTATTCACTGTTCTGTCTTACTTGTACAGGTGTTTATATCTGCTGTTATGAAATAAGACAAGGTAGCAGAATTTGCAGGAAATAGACTGTCAGAGGTAAAAGTTATGCTTTTATTGACTTTAATATTTTTCAGTGGAATGTAAGGCCATGTTTACGTCAGAAACATTTGCTGCTGACAATGAAGTAGAGCTACAGATCTGCACATTAGGTATATACGAAATATATGTGGGTCAATATAAAAAAAAGCAGCTAAATGTGTCACTTCTTTGTAAAATCCTATTTCTTATTTTCTCCAATTTTGGATTGTTGCTTTACAATCTAATAATTCCAATCTTCATTTTATCTATTGATTTCCTGTGTTTTGATTGGACGAGAACACGTTCCAGAAAATTTTTACACATCTATAAATTCTTTCAATCAGAACTACTTTCTTGATGACACTACTAGGTTATCGTATAAACAATGAAAGCAGTTATTTCTGGGTTGTTCTGGTTAAATAATGAATACAAGAAACTTTAAATTTAATTAGGGCTTAAACAAAACTGGCAACATACTAGACTGCCTAACTGATGGACGCCGTGAAAATGTTTATGTCACTGTCCGATCACGAGTGTGAATTTTAAAAATCGCTGTCTCAATGTTCATACGTAGAAAATAAGCTCAGTCTGTATCGTTTTGACAGGAGAAATGTACCTCAAACTCTTGCCCTATAAGCATCAAATTCATATTAACTTTCAATATTGTTCCTCAATATTTGAATAAACAAGTGCAAATTGAAGGCGTCGTCGGTCTGCAAGTTTCGCTATGAGAGTTGTTGTTTATGTCAACATGGCCATGGTCAAGATGAATGATTCCTAGTAAACTCGTAATTACGATATTTGTTGACTTAAACAACATTCCATTAGTTGTTATAAGTTTATTTATCGATTGTTTTGACAATTTAATTTGAACTCTATCGAAATTCATCTCGATTACGTTCCTTTACGGTAAAATGTATTCCTGATCGTTGTCCCTGAGAAATAACGGATTGTATGGAGGCCTCAAAGAGAAATATTTTTAAAAAATTCGATATTGGAATTATAACAATTAAACGTTCTTTTTGAAAATTTATCGATGTGTAACTCTCAACATTTTACTCAGCAAACTTAACATAAAAGTGCTTCGCACTTTTATTTAGTTTGTGAGTAAAATGTCAAGAGTTTACACATCGATAAATTTTTCAAAAAGGTAACGTTTAAATCCTAATATGAATATGCAATAAACATGATAAACAGATGCTTTTTTACCCATGCTTATAATGTAATGTAATGATTTTGCACTCAAATAAAAAAGGGAAGTTAAATTGTTACTTGTGTATCATATAGAACCTCCTTTCTTTCTTCCTTATTGCATCCTTATATAATTATTTTATAATTCCAATAGCTTCATTACAAGCAACTCTCAATAAAATTTTTATTTTCTATGAAAGCATAAATACAAGGTTAAGGGGGATGTACGGCCACCTTTAGTGCTGTGAGAACAAAATGTAAACTTTTCTTCAAATGGCTAAAATACATCATATTTTGATCAAATTTTAAGTCCTTATGATAAAGATACAATAAATATTCATAACTGAATGCATGTTGTGCATATATAATCTATACTTTTGCAGAAAAATGCTTTTGATATGCTCCTTAGAACTGCGCAGCTACAGAATTCAGCAGAGCCTAAAAAAATCCAAAAAAATATGCAAACTGTGCATCAATGTTCTCTCTACAACCATTTGTTGAGAAAATGTCTAAATTTTGCACTTTTAAATGATAATTTCAAGTTCAAAACAAGGTATCATTGTCTTCAAAAGAGTGTAAAGAACCATGAAAGTAGTTCATGGATAGCAGCACGTGGTTTATTTTAAGCACAGAATTTTGTTTTCCAGACCTCTTCTTAATATGGAGGGACATAACAATCTTTAAATGTAGAAGAGAATTACAGTTGCAAAATATTTCAAATAATATGAACACTTTTAAAAGAGGAAATGTGTTATAGTATGGCTTGAAGTAATTTATTTAGTATTATTATGCTTCCTGTCAGTTTGTCTCTATATAACCCATACCCTACTATTCTCGCATAGTGGTCTAAGGATTTATATAGCGTAAGCATACTATGCCGAAATAGAGCACGGCTTCCATTTTTGGGGAAATCCGACAACGCCCATACCGGGGAGCGAACTCACGACCCCGAGATTGTAAGTCCGACGCGCTACCGATTGTGCCACAGACGCCGTTATCTATAATATTGTACTATAATATATATAAACTTAGTTTCAAATATTTTATGATTAAAATTAAAAATAAACAAAATAATTCTTCTAAAATAGTTTCTTGCAACCCCCCTTCCTTCACTCAAATAATATTCTCTAAAACTATCTGTAGATTATACCTAAAGCATGGAATGTTCAAAATTAAAGAAAAAGATTATGACGTACATGTTGCATAAGGTGACGTCATAATAGAGTAGACGAATGTAACATGTGATGAAACATTGGGAATGAATAAAATATTGTCGTTTTTATACAGTAACAACAGTCAGCATAATAATAACAATAATAATAAAACATAGTGCACTCGCCTCCGGCTCGTGTACCATGTGTCAAACCCTGACGACTATTTAGGCATAGTGCACGCAAAACACAACACTATTATATAATTATTATCGAACAGTTGTTAAATAATGTACTTATTGATATCAAAGAAAAAAATCTTAAACTCTTTGATTCCAGGTAAGGAAAAATGAGCACCATCAAAGTTAAGAATTAAGAGTTTGTAAGTTTGCCACAGATAACTTATAATATATATCAAAATTTTAATTATCACTAATGAAACACAAAGAAATTAAACACATAAAATCGATATGAATGACCTACTAGTACGAGGGGTGATCAAAAAGTTCGCGAACTATCTCTATATCTACAAAACCACAATTCAGATTAGAAACAAATTTGGTGCACACATAGCCAAACACAAGTTCTATAAAATAGCACATGCTGAATAAAGTTTTGCTCATAATGACGTCATTATGCAGGTTCTTGTGACGAAAAATGGTTGCTTCAGTGGAACTCGTTTAACAAACGACTAAAATATTTATGGTATATCTTCAAAATGCCTTTGAAGTAGCATATAAGAATTTGTTCATAGTTTATTAAGACAAATGACTTCCTACAAATTCAATCAATGATTGGATAGATCGTTTTAGTGAAGGAAGGCAGATGGTTAAATATGATACTTGTTATATTGCCCAGTGATATATTAGCAAGTTTGAAAAGGGATGTGTTTTTAATTAAGCAATATGCTATCAAAGACCTC